GCCCTGTGTTCCACTTATTTGCTGAGTTGAAAATCAGCCAACGTTCATTGCTGACGAAATCTCAGCACAGATACAGAAGGCTCTCCTGGCATCTGCTAGCCAACTTATGCCATCCTCAGGCTTAATAGACATGATATCCGGTTATCGATCAAAGGGTGTTTGTACTGCTCAGCAGTTCGTTCTGTCCTCCCTTGTGGCTGTGAGTGGGAAATGGCCATTGAAAGTGGAAGATGTGGAAACAGTAGCTGTCTCTGATTATAGGCACCTGCGTTATATCTCTCCTGTTAGGTGCTGCAGTATAATAAGGTGAGAAATATTGAGGTTAGGCGTCAAGTGCTAAAGATGAGGGGGGGGGGGGAATCACTCGACGAGGTTGTGAAGCAGCTGCATCGAGTGAGATAGTCAGGACATGTGTTACTCATCCCTAGCCATCGTTTTCCTCGACGGGCAGTATTAGCAGGTATAGGATGGGTCAAGTTTGAAAAGAGCTAGTTGTGCTCAAACCAAAACATGGCTACATCAGTCAGTGAAATATAGTTATTCCATGAAAAACTATACACCGCAATCTTACTATCTCCTCTTTAGTGCTTAACTATTTTCTAGTAGCCACTCACCTGACACATTTTACAACCTTGAAATGACTAGTCAATTTTCCCTCCTCATATTGCATAAACCTATTATGACTAATCACTGTTGTCGTCTTTCACTTCGTAATATTTTGTAGTTGAGTTCAGACCAGCACATTTATCGCACAGATACTACTTACTTCGTCAGCTTATAACTAACCTATCATACTACGTAGAATGTACCCACCACCGCATAACTGACTATTATTTGTAACAACAACAAATGTTATATTTGTACTTTTAAGAAACTGAAGAGAATTTATTTAGAATAATATTCTTCGCTAAGATTGACTCTTAATTCACCAGATGGCAATATTTCACACTATCAAATCTTACAACGATACTTCAAATATGAATAACAGGCTAGGAGACTTGATAATGCGGCTAACTTTGAATTGATGTTGGATAGTTGGAGGTTTAGGTTTGAATCTCAGAAAAAGCAAACGTTCCTCAGAAGTAGCAGATACGCTTCGTCGACGAGTATTAATAACTACGAAACTCAGATTCACAGCTTGTTATCAAATACCTCTGACCATCTAACATATATTCAAAGTTCTACAGGACGATAAGTCTCCTACATTGGTCACCACAGTGCAAACTCGACTGGTAGCATTAACTTAGCTCGAAGACCAAATATCATACCAATGTTCATATCCCACTGACTAATTAATGTGACCATATCATCTAAGAAACCTATAGAGAGGAAGGATGGGCTATGACATATCCAATATAACTGACCAATATGCAATATGTTCCACCCGCAAGTGATAGAACCACAATGGCTTTGTAATCACCATCCTGAAGACTCCTATTAGACTCCTATACATATATGGGAGTTACATCACACGTATGAATACCTAATAGGAACTGAATATCATGAGTAATTCATCCATGTGAATATGGAACACACGTTAGACAGTTTTGGGATATTGGAACTTTTGATAGTTACAGGGAATCCTGTCAAAATGGACGATATAACTAAATTTGTCCTTTCTTATCCACGTCTACATTAGAAAAGAAGATTATAAGTATATCTCCAAAATGCAATACAAGTGTCACAGAACGGTTGAACAGATAATGCTGATATCAGTTGTGCAGTACTAAAAAAAAGATGTGAGCGTCTACGGGCTAGTGTTTAGTATATGTTGCAGAAAACTAATCTTAATGTGAAGCGAATTGTTCCACAGTAGTTACGTCAAATTCGGAACTAATCTATTATTTATCAGCTATTACTTGTAAACCTGTAAAAGGAATTTGGCATTATTAAGGTCTGTTATCAGTTAAAGAACCATTGAAAGCCTGCAGGGATTACTGGACAGCTGTTTCATCCTAGTTTGGGGAATCATCGGAAGTACGCACCTACTGGTGGTTGCGCTAAATCACGAATTGGTAGAAGTTAGAATTCATAGGCTGGCCATTGAATCAGGTCCCAGTGACTGAATGGTATACGAGCTAGCTTGCCTTGTAACCGGAAGGTCCTGGTTTCAAACCCTGTCAATGGGTGAGTACTCCCGATGATTCCCAAAACTAGGATGAAACAGCTGTCCAGTACTCCCTGGTTTTCAACACTCCTCTAACTGATATCAAACAGTGATCAACTCATAAAAACAAATCTAATCCTTACAAACCAACTATTGAAAATTAAGGTCATTGTGGCATTATGCAATTTCATGGTAGTTTACTTATATACCTGAGAAACCACACGTTGAGACGACAGTATTATGTGATACATATCGACTCAAGAAATACCTATCAGATATACTAATAAGGAGATTACAGGCATTAAGCTCGGTAGACAGTGACTATTAAATTCGAAGTACAATATATACGCCTAAAACTATGCAAGAATAATCTAAAATACAGTACAACATAACCGGAAGAAAAATGTGTTAATTCTCAAGAATTAAGTAATAACCAATCGATAATTCTTCTGAAAGCTAATCAAATATCATACTATTTTAAGAAATCCGATATCAATACTCTGAAAAACAAACTGTGTGAGAAAGATTAAACACCTACAACTGACACAATAATAATAATAATAATCTGCCATTTTAATACGCTTTAATGTTTCGCCTTTATATCTAAAACTAATCACTATATCGTGTTGTTCAGATTTCAAAATAGGGTTATTTTGTCACAGGTCGACAGATATATGCCTGGAAAATATCTACACATTCTTAATGTGTCAAAAACTACAATTTGTAGTAAACATAAAAGGAAGGCTAAATATTGCACAGTTATAGAATTTTCTTCAAAATACTTGACACTTTACCAGTTGGTGAGTAAAACTGAGGTAAAAAAAAAACTTGAAGATTCCCCCTAGTTACATTAAAATTCTTTTTAACCCCGAAAGATGTTAAGACAAAATGTCTGTCTGTCTGTTTTCGACATAGAACTTTGCACAAATGTGCGGAAGTTCAAGTCGCCACATTCCGTGTAGCACGCGAAGCAAGAGAAGAAAGTACAAGAAAAGCATAATAGAAACAGTGAGCAGAGGTGTGAGACAAAGGAGTAATAAAGAAATACAAAACAGTTTCATTGAAGATCATAAATCACAGGGAGTGGATGCATCTGCGCCACTGAGAACGGTTTTGAGCCATGTCACCAATTGTTTCCAACCATAGATTTTTACCGTCCCGAGGACCCCAGCCTGGAAGTCTACACCTTTCTACGTGGCTTAGACCAACTGTTGTGGATTTCATTGACTGATGCCAAGTTTTTGTTTGACCGCCGCTAGCTTTTTTCCAGACTGACCCTATATCCACTAACATTGCTCGTCGAGGGAGGCGATGGCTTGGCATATGTAACACATGTCCTAACCATCTCAGTCGATGTAGCTTCACGACTTCGTCGATTGATTTCCCCTGTTTACCTAGAACTCTACGCCTAACCTCCATGTTGCTCACCTTATTATGCCACTTTACACGGGAAATAGAACGCAGGCACCTATAATCAAAGACAGCTAGTCTTTTCATGTCTTCCACTCTCAGTGACCAGGTCTCACAACCATAAAGGAGGACGGAGCGGACTGATGAGCAGTAAAGACAAAATACATCACGATACAGAAACAATAGCAGTTGAGTCGTTAATTCTCTGAGTTTCAGTACAATGAACTCAGCATAAATGTGCAGCAGTTCAAGTTGCAACACTGTGTAGTGAACATAGATAGAGAAGAGGAAGTTTTCCAAGCTATAATGTACGGGAGGAAGTATAGTGACATGGGAAAACGTGAGGATTTAATGGATCCGCGAGACTACGAAGAGTGAATGAATATGCTCCACTGATTACACTTTCGAGTCATACCACTAACAGTTTCAAGTCATTGCTTTCTAGAATCCCAAGGACTCCATTCAGGCAGTCTACACCCTGAGAAGTGGCTGAAATCAACGATCAAAGACTTCATGGATTCATGACACGTTTCGGTTTCGCTATCTCTGATTCTTTTCAAACATAATCCTATGTTAGCTAACATTGCTCGATAATGGAGATGATGGAGTCGAATACGTAACACGTGTCTTAACTATCTCAGTCGATGACGCTTCACAACCTTATCGATTTACTTGTCCTTCCTATCCAACACTCTATGCCTAACCTTAAAATTACTCACTATATCACTAAACACGGGAGAGAGAACGCGAACATGTCCTAGAATACAGCAGTTATATTTATAGTCAGTTTTATCCTTGATAAACAGCAAAATTATCCAAACGATACCACTATAGGATTCTTATTTTTAACTTCATTTCTTTGCGTCTCGAGTAGAATATAGAGTTCCTAGCTTTGAGCTCTGAATTTCCAGTGACAGTGTTATTTTTTTACAGGATGGATGGGGTTGCTAGCTTCACCCGCAACTTCCCCTCCCCTCCCCTCTATCGGGTATACCGCTAGCTGAGGTCTGGGAGTGAGCTGGCATGCGTGGTTAGCGTGCATTCTACTGCTGAACCAACGACGCACACTAACAATACTGAAACTAAGTTATCATCGAAGACTTTCTACATGCATACTGTCGAAAATGAGAAGTAGTTCAGTTGACTTACAATCAAAACAGTAACAAGATAGGATGCAAGCAACGTGATGTTTTGGATATTAGTGTTCACATAAAATTACCCCACTGCGACAGGTATTTTGATTTTCCGTCACTTTATAACACATAAGTTAATTTGGATTTGACTGAATATTTAGGTGGTGGTTGGACAGTTCACAGAGAAGCCCAAGTATTTCAATAAGTCTCGTTATGTTGAAACCATCATACAATCCTAATGTCCCCAAAATATATTCATGACTAGCACAGTGTTTCTCATTTTTAAAATTATGAATCAAATGCAGAGCAGTAATTATCAGAGAATTGGTGTCAAAAAGACCTAAAATTACCTAGTCGAAACGGCTCCAAATAGTCTGATATTAGTGCATCATCCTCTGGGAAACGCACCCGACGTTTTACTTTACAACTGGCATCTGAATTTGACCTGGATAGTTTATTTTCAGAACGATTGCAATGAATAGCCGTAACAACGTCGATATTATTGGTCATTCGGTTTTATACCTTCCAAATAAAATTAACTGTGAAAATATAATACAAAAAAGTATTTGAATTAACTAGCAAGATAGTATGTGGAAAGTTCGATACGTTTACGGATTTTAAATTTAAACAACTCAATGTGAAATGTATATAAATACCATATGTTACAAACCACACGCAGTTGCATCTTAAAATATACACTCGGGAAACTACAGAATAGTCAGTAAGAGACGAAATGGTCCCATTTGTTGTGGTCTAAGAATTCAAACAATTGCGTCCACATTAGAATCAAACTTTTTTGTCGGAAAGTAGGATGGGTACTATATGTCGTTTTTATAAGCCTTTTTTCAAATGCGACCGCTATGCAGTACAATACTTGTAACAAGTGGTTTTACATAATTTACTGCAACTTAAAATACCATAAGGAGACAGTCTTACGTTAACTTATTAAGTATCAATGTTCAAGAAATATTTTATTATTCTAAACTTTACTACGCAAATAGTGTTTGATCATAAATCTTTGCAGTGCAACTTATCCAAAGAGTTAAACGCAAAGTTATAACAGGGTGTTATCAGCAAATAACTTGTTAAACTCAGGTAGCGAAACACTGTAACATTATCTGCCAAACTCATTTTACGAAATGCACAGAGTTCCTCACTTTAAAATACTATCTTTAGTTGTATTGTTTCTTTACAAGATGCAGCATATTTATATTGCTTACATGCGGGAACAAAGATATCCACTTGTGAGTAGCAACCTGTTGAGCGGATTCACTGGACGTTCATTAAAAAATAAACACTCCAAAAGAATTTGGAGTAGCTGGTACACTAGCTAAGAAGCTGGTTGCCACGTTAACCGAGACCCAACCAACCTGGCGGGACAGTATATTCAGTTCGTTCTTCTCAGTCACCAACAACCTCTATCTTAGTATTAAAATATAACAAAACAGTTCACAAAACTTAGAAATCGACTACAAGGTATGAAGACATTGGTACAACATATGTGAATCCCAGAGAAATGAAAGAAGAGAATTACAAAAGATGTTAGTAAGCTCATACATAAACAAATATTCTAGAACTAGCAGAATTCAGAGGAAAGACTGAATAGACACTTTCTCGATGTGGAAAATTAGAAACATGGTAACTAAGAATATTATAGAATGGAGGATTTCAACTCACTGATATAAGACTAGTAAATATCAAACAGTAAGTAAGTATATGAATCGAAAAAATAACGTAGGGTGTGGAATGACAATAATTTAAACTAAAACAACCGAAATAAGATAAATCAGATCGACAAGACTAGAACTTTTTGGTAATAAACCCCAAATTCTGACTGATACGTATATATATAACCTGCAGACAACACTCTAAACATTTGCAAAGATGAATTCGGTTAATAGACAATTTTATGGAGTATTCACTGTTTCCACTTGCAAGCTGCATGATACATAAGTGCGATAGAAATGATTTTAGTGAATAGTAGTTGTCTACATTGCTCTTGAGCTTTGATATGCAAATGAAACTGTGACAAGTGATAGGTTAAAAAATCTCTTTGTTCACAGATGGAAGCAAACATGAATATCAGCATCTCGCCGATACATTATCCACACCAGATCATGAAATAGTCGGAAACTAACTACGTTCGGCTTCTGGCCAACGGAAATAAATGCAGTCTTTGGAGAATGACTTACCAATTCAGAAACTTTTAGCACCTACAAGTTTTGTCCCTGTATTAAAGACCCCACAAGGGAGCTGCCATACCAGAGCTGAATGAGAACTGATTAGAACAGAAATAATTGAGTGTGCCTATAGGAAAGGTAAACGAAAATAAATTAAATGGATATAATGCACAGGACAATACAGCAGTTAGGACTAAAGAGGTTACATCTATTTTCGTATGCACTGAGTCAGGAAAATGTCACCTTCACCACAATTGATAGTTAAATCAACTCTAAGACCTGTAAGGCAAGATCGCCTACATGATCTTGTAAATGGGTGAAAAATGCGAATGTAAACGTCTTTAAAATGATTCTCTATGGGACTCTACAGATAAAAACCACACAATGCTACAAATAGCAGTAGCTTATACAAGCTATCAGACTACTGTCCTAATTTATATGAAGATAAGGATGTTCTCATGAATTAATATATCTGTAAAACTTGGATATTGCGGTTGTGTGTAATTTCATATTAATTTCATCATTGGGTATATCACATGGTGACACGGTATAATTTATTGAGGCACATATTGGCACACCTCACTGGCACAAATATGAATAGTAAATCATATTTGAAGTGCTGCTTTAATGTTATATATATACACATATATATATATATAGGTTATTCCACAAAATCGAGACTACCTTAGTATAAAATTAAGTTTTTTAGACTCCAACACAAGTTCAAAGTAAACACATATAAAGTCATGGACCTCATTAGCAAATCTGTGAAACAAACGAGACACGTGACTGACTAAAATCAACACCACTTGCTTCTTGCTGTCGAATAGAAGTACACAGTTCCACACGTTCACTAGAAACACAAGACAAAAAAACTGTCACAAAACTCCTGTTGCGCTCGTACCTGCCGTATATGTAAGACCACGACTTTTAAAAAGGCCTACAAACATTTGCGGTCACCACACATAAATCCCAGAAAAAGATCTTTACACATGTTCACTTATATGACTTGATAAAAAAAATTTCAATTTGCTTCAACCGACTCGAGTCGGTTGAAGCAATCAGAATAATACTGAAGCAATGCTCGCAAATCGTGACTTAAGCCTTTCTTTACAGTGGATATCCCCAGAATGACCTCTAATTATTCCCCGAGATACCATTCATTTGTACCCCAAATGTTATCCGCTTGACATACAATTTTGTTAGCTCACGACAGTTAACATGGTGAAATAATGAAAAAACCTGCAGTTATCTCATACAAATAATGACATTCGTCACGAAATTATTAAAAAGGACAAGTACTAATGTCCACCAGCTACTAAAATCCATAAGAAGTCAATGAGAACACAAAACTACCTACCAAAAAGTAGGTTTGACCTAGAAAACGAAATGTTTGCCACTATTCATCAATGTTCAATATTTTCTCTACTTTAGGTTACTAGTGAAATATAAGGCTACAAGCTACAGCTTTGACGTTTCAGTAGCAGTGGTTTTATTTTCACAGGACAGAGTTGCTAGTCTCAGGCCCAAACTTTCCTTTTACCTGCCTTATTACCGACTTAGCGAGGTTAAGCAGGGCTTCGGCCGTCGGAACACATGCGTGGCTGGCAATCGTTGTACCGCTAACCGCCGACATCCCAATGCTCACTGTGTGATACCAATTCCTCAAGTTTGAAAAAATCGAAATAAATCCGTACTGCATACTTGAAATTACGATCCTGAGTTTTTCCTGGATGGTTGGACCTATCATTCAAGCCCCTTGTGTTTGGCAAACCCCAAAAGAAATCAGAAGTTTAACTAGGGTAGTTTACAATTTCTGCTAAGACCGTGGCGCTAATGGCATTTAAGTCAGTCCTTTCAACAACGAGAGTTCTGACAGCATATTTCATTCATGTAGTGAACAGACACCGTCTAAATGGTTCGTAGGAATTTCGGTAAGATCTGCTGAAAATTACCTCCCATAACTCCATGCCTTTGTTGCATTTATCTCTTAGTTTATGATGATTAGTTTGCCTTGTTCATAATCATCATTTGTTTCTGGCTGCTTTTTTTGATCTCAGCATGCTCTGGCACAATGCTTTAATCGAAAGGATTATTTCCTTTGAGCACGTAGTTACTGGAGTGGCAATGTCTGATATCTCTGTTAGAGCTATTTCACTTGTTCTCAGTCTCATCCACCTGATGGTGATGTACGATCTGAAAGCTATGGAGTGACGGAAAAACCGTTTTTCGTGTCCATCTGGTTACTTCACTCAAAACACAGATAAGGATAGGAAGTTCCACACTCAATACGCTAAAAAAGTACTGTATTAAATGTCATGAAGATGTGATCTCCATTTTCGAGAAGGGACTTCATTTGGGGAATAAATGGTGGCCAATCAGAATATGCCCCAGTTAAGGTGACTTCCTATTCTAAACTCATCTGATGTCGTCTCCTGTTGCCACGTTATGCACGTCTCTCCTGAGTGATTTCGGCCAAAACCGCCAACCCAAGTCAGGGACCATTAACCTCAGTCGAGAAACTGGGGTGGTTTTCGCGAAGTTATGTGTGTGATGATCCACTACTCTTACTGTTTCTTTTTCCTTGCCGAATCTCGCCAGTAGATCCTTGGTATATTAAAAGTGGCAACATACCCAGATTTCAGCTGTCAGCTTATCTATTATTTTTATGCATCCAAGTTAGCCCCTAGGAATGCGGTCAGCTACTCTGTCTGAAAGAACAAGAGCTCGTTTCTGATTGGCTTCAACCGGTGGTATCGCTCATGAAGGCAGTAAGCTCGCCTGTCTTTCTAGTCCTACGCCATGACCATACTATCTGCTGACTGTTAAGCTGATCCACCCGACCTAGTGACCTAGCTGCTCTTTACATGGCCAACAACTGATGAAGAATGAATGTAACGCTGACGGTCACTGAGGGTGTATTTATTATCTATACTACAAACAGAATGTGATAATGCCTAAGCACACCATAATTATGCAAACACGCCCTTGTTCTGCGAAATACCAATTGTCCGCAGTATCATTCATCCAGCACACACCAACAAATTAGTCGTTGGAGAAGAAATTACTAGCGTTCAGTCAAACTGACTAGTATATCATGCGGTTACCTTTTGGTCACTATCAGCAGAGGTCAGCTTTGTGTCAGTTGAAGTCTGTTTTCCTAACGTCGTGGGGGCGTCTGGCACTAGCAGTGGGAAGCTGGTACAAAAAGTAACTGGATTAGAAATGAGTGTAGTTGTCTATAAGGGCAATAAACTCATTGTCCAGCCAAGATTTGTACGTATTCATTCTATGAACGATGCAAAATAGCTCTCATGTTAGCGCGTCCAGCTTTATATTCGCAGTACCTTATGGCAAAACACTGCATACCAATGGGAAATATTCAGGAGAAATAGGAAAGGATAATTCGATACAGTTGCAATACAGTCCTCTCAGTCCAAATTTATGGCTAACTAGACTCAAGAGGGCGCACATCAAAAACAGTAAAGTACCTGTGTAAAAAACAGTGAAACAACGTTAGAACAGTCAAATGTTACATTTACAGTCATCACAGTTCCTTCTAGAAAGCGCATAATACTACCACACAAAACCGCACACGAATGCACCTACCCATGACAAATCCAAAATTCAAATGACCGCCACTGTTCTAGCCAATGAAAGACGAGAAAACTAGAAGCGAGCTAAATTTAAAACGCGATAACGTTTATCCTCACTTTTCCCAAACGTAACATGAGGAATCTTTTACTCAAGATCATTCTGAATTGCAGACTTCATTCGATCGCAACTCAAGATTAAACCTTCTTGTGTTAAATCCGTATGCTCGGAACCAATGACAAGTCTTCAACTGCGCCCACTTCATTCGTTAATAATAGCGAAACATGTAAGCTAGATGTCTGATTCCGGCAAATTTAAGTAAACTGTTGGTATAGGGCAAGGCCGATAACAATATTACAAAACATAATTCAGAAAATACCCAGGAAACATAGCTTGATGAAATTTGGGTTCGTCTGCGTATGTGCATCAAATAGAAATAATGTTGGGAGTTGTCATGTGCAATCCGTCCCGTGCAGAACTTCTCCTTCTTTACCAGCTTGTTAAGTCGGTGTGACCCGTCTTATCTTGTTGAGCAGGTTGACTCTAAAAAAGTCCAAACCAGTGAAGGCAGTGTAAATGCCAAGGCTGACCTCTAAATAGGCCTTAACGTCAGCACCTTCTAAACTTGCCCTCCTCAGTTAACTGTGATCGGTTCACTGACTACCGTGTATGTACCGATGGATAAAGTCCAAGTAGAAGACCTAGATGCGTCAACAGGGAAGCTGATCGGAGGTTAGATGCCCAGATGCACGTCATGGTTGCGTCTGTGGTCGACATCTTAATTTTCATGAACGCTTCCAGAGCCGTTGGCGTCATGCCTAATGTCTTACACTTACGTTTCAGTAGGTCAGGGTGAAGTTAAAATATGCGCACATTGAGGAATAAACAGATGGTAGTGACTTACCATACCTAGAAAAGTGCGCAAAGACTTGAGGGATGTTGGCACTGGGAAGTATGGTATGGCATGTACCTATTGAGGTAGAGGGCTAACGCCGTGTTCATCAGTTATATGTCTACGAAAAGTCAGGGAGTGCAAACCATTCTGGCACTTGGCTAGACTGTCTGTATTTGAATGTTTTGGAAGTCGGCCAAACACTTGTTGTAAGTGGTCGCAATGAGGCTCTTCATTTGGACTAGCTATCAAGATGTTGTCTAAGTAGCGATAAGCGTTGTCAAATCCATGCAAGACATCATGAATGAAACACTGAAATGTTCGTGCAGAGTTGAGCAAGCCAAAGAGTATGTGAAGAAACTGGAAAAGAATAAGAGGAGTAATGACGGTGGTTTTGGGGATATCACCTGGATCAGGAGGGATCTGATGATAGGCACGCATCAGGTCAAGTTTACTGCATACAGATGCGCATTTCAAAGATGCAGTGAGGTTGGAAACCGGATGACGATCCGGGACCGTTTGAGCGTTGAGTCTGTGGTAGTCCCCACAAGGTCTTCAGTACATCACTTTATCCTTTGGAACCACACGGAGAGGTGAAGACCACAGAATGCTAGATGGTGTGATTATCCCCATCTCTAACATATGTTCACACTGAGCCCTAATGGCTTTGAGTTCTTCTGGGGATAACCCCTGTGGTTTTGCGAAAACAGGTAGACTGGTCGTTGTGATTTGATCAGTGGCATTAGAAGTCGCGCATGGGATTCCGGGAGCCCGTTTCAAAAGGTCAGAAAGAGACTGAAGGACGTCGGAAGATGGGCCAACAGTTGCAGGTAGTGAATACACTGAACCTAGAGAGGGGCTGTGCGTGACAGTGCCGGGACTGATAGCTCTGTTGATGAATCGATTAATTTGTGTTTTCCAGCGTCTACTAGTGCCCGAGAGTGCTGCAAAATCTTATATAATTTATGAGGTAATTAGATGCAATATACTGTAATGCACGCTGAAAATTCCATACCTGTACCACAAATACTGTTTGGAATAAAGCTGTTATTATTATTATTATTATTATTATTATACCAATGATACCGGCGGCGACACCTGTCACAATGAAAAGCCAGTGGAACGAGCGAAGCTAGCTGATGTTAAGATTCAGGAACCTTATACTATGCGTGGTGATAGGTGAACTATTGTTTGCTGCACAGAGTTTTAGAGATGTTGGCCACAGACGCTCTTCTGGTGTAGATGAGATCACTCTAGCTTCTGCCTCGGTGTCAGCCGGGAAGCGTCTCCCACTGTTACGGTCGGTGAAATGTAAGTGGTTCACCAGCTAAGTTAGTCGCCATCACGCGGCAGCTTACGCGTTTCCTAACTGCTTGGCATCAAAGGTGGAAGGGTAAATGCACCTTTCGACATCTGCACCGTAATATTAGTGGTACCAGCACAGTTCAGGCTGGGAGTTTCGTAACTCCGAGCGACTATTGCCAGTACGTGAGGACGCATTACTGGATGGGGTTGTGCGTTTACGGGACTAACTTGTGGCCCTCATCTCTTGTCCTAGGCCACAAATCTCCACGTGAATCTTGATTAGGTAAAATAAGGTGTGTAGTACAGCTGCGTCTCTGAAAAAGCAAAAGACAACGTGCAGCAAAATTAATATCTACCAGAGTGAATTAAGAACCCAACTGATCCAGGTCTTTCACAGCTGGATTGACTTCTGGTTGGACACCCGTTCTTTACTTGTGGATTCTATTGGTTTGGTTTCCCTTCTACTAGAAACTGTTTTGAAATTTTCAAGTAGCAACTTTAGTACTAGTGCAAATCCGGAAAATTTAACTTATCGCCGAAAAGTGGCTGATTCTGATGTATCACCCATATTTCTGCCCCACTCCATATTCGAATGCCACAGTTTTACCAGGATTTATAATTTCATTTGTCCATTTTCATCATCCTCATCTGTAATTGTGGTGGTAGATGTAATAACTGTTGCAGAAGCACACGGTACTGGCTTTGATTGCAGCATTGAATGATGCTCAGTATGTAACATCCCACGAAGAGCAATGCTGAATTTTCCCTCAGTTATATCGTTGGCAGTGTGGGGGAAACAGGGAAAGAAACTATTGTACAGCTTCTGGTGCAGTCGCTCTCCTTGCTTTTGATATGGCTGCCTTGAAATTGTCTAAAAATATTTTGACCCAACCGGTGGACTAGAGGGGACAAGCTGGCGGCCATACACTTCCGTTTAGACAGAATTCTTTAAATATTTGCCACATGAATTGAGTGCCGTTCTGAAGTACAATGGTCAGTGGGATGTCATCGTATGCAAAATGTTTTATGAGCGCTGATATCGTTCCGCTACTACAGAGTGAAGCAATACCTCCAGTTACCTCGAAAATAGTATCGGACAAAAAACACTGTTTATCAGCTCACCGGGGGTCATTTATAACATAGACGCTTCTTTTGGTTGTCCTCAAAGTGGACTTATGACAATGGCTCAAAA